AAAAGTGATCACCTTGGCTGTTGCCACATTTTGAGTCTTGTGTGCCAGTTTGGTCACTGCGTCTCCAGGACAGCACAGGGGAAGTAGAAAAGAGGAGTTAAAGTGTTTTGGAGTAGCTGCCTTTTAAGGAGAAAATAAAGGGGCTAGAACCCCTTTTAAGGAGAGGAAGTGAGCAGGGTTTGGAGGGGAGAATAAACTCAAAGTTTACAAAGTCTTGTAGGCAGTGGTAAGTAGGAGTCACTCAGTGAAGCTAACAAGGGAGCACCTTAAAAGCAAGTTGGTCACTATAGGAGGTTATGGACCAAAATAGTTTTATAAGTTCAAAATAGGGACAACAGGTCCATAATCAGATATTAAAGAGATAGGCATATGCTTTTAACATGCTGGCTTGACCAGGTAGTGCATGACTCATGTTTTTAATCCAATTGAGAATAAGCCCTGTGGAATATTGTGATACCGTAAAAATTCTTGTTACTATTTGCTATTTTTAATTTGGCTTTGGGGATTTCTGTACTGAATTCCTTTCCTGTCTTCAGTCAATGTTACCCTATATATGTGGTGTGCATAAAATACAGGTAACAAAATTTATTACTATTTGCATTTTGTATTTTGATTACAGCTGATGGTCTTCACTCAGGATTTTCTTTTTCCGTGAGAAAATACAAGTATCTTAACCACAGAGAAGTTGTGGCACATTCACGTAGTGTATGATGTCCATTACTCGTAGGTACAATGAAAACACAGACATTAGTTTTTGGTACAGTTATCCGGATGGCCCCACAATACTGTAAATGCATGCAGAAGGGGCAGGAGGGAAATTAATTAGTGCAAATACAAACCCTGTAGGAAAATAATAGAATAGGATAGAGGAGAGGTCAGTTTGTTTCCTGGACCTTATATAGTTTTCCCACTGATATGTCATGTTTCTCCTCAGTTTCCCTCACATGTAACATAAGGACACTAGAACTTAGTCTAGAACTTAGTATCTTATAGCTTCCAAAACAAAAGAATCCCCAAGTGTCCAGATACTAACAGTAGCAATACGGGCACTAGCCTTTTGGAGGGGTTAATTGCTCATATTAATATTGACAAGAAACTATCTGTTTTTTTTTTTTTTTTTATAGCTTCCATAGCTAGCAGTCTTATTTAAAAGTGTTTCTGTGAAAAAAAAAAAAAAAAAGCATTTTTATTAACTTCTCTTGGGCTTTCAGAGGAATCCAGAGCATGCTAGATGGCTTTATTTTTTTATTTTTTTCTCTTTAGGTAGAGATCATTCAAGATCAAAAGTGGAGTGAGGTAGAGAAGCAGAGTGGTCGTATGTGCTCAGCTAATGTGCAGGATGGATCACCACTCAGGAAATGCAGACCAAAAAAGCCATCTTAAAGCAACAATGCAGTACAGAAATAGAGTTGTTTCATGGGCACTGTTTTCGTTTTTCCAAGAGCCTTTTTCTGAGGTTGCAGAATGATGATTCTTTTTTCCATTATTGCAGAATAGTTCGTTTGCAGCTTTATATTTGTGCCATTTGGGAGAAAGGAGGGGGAAGTTACTGCCATAGCTAGTGGGGAAAGGAGTAGTGATTCTTGTGCACATTTCTGTTTGCTGCCCAGCAACCTGGTTATTCAGTCCAAGGAGAGCAATCTATATAACAAGTGATAGGAGAACACTTCTTTAAATTCTGTTCTTCAGAAAAAGCATGTGATTAGGTTGAGAAAGGTTGGTGTGATAATTACTACTTGTGTGCAAAAGAATCAGAACTGTCCAAGATTTAGCATAATCGTAATTTCTAGATATTTAGAGTAGAGCTTTATCTTATAGGAGGGAGATAGGGATGTATACGGAGATTCTGTAATTTTGATGCTGGCCTTAGTCACAGTGATATTTTTATCTTTAAAATATATTTTTTAATTCTTCTGAGCTGTTTTCTTCCACTGGGGACATAATTTGGAGGTTGTGTACTCCAGGGGCAATACACCTACCACTTTATTCCCAAGGTTTTGCTCATTCCTTTCCCCAGCACACCCCATTTCCCTTTGTGCCCTGCATGCAAGTGTGGGCTGAGCTAATATGGGCTGAAAAAGAAATCCTGGAGGGGGAAAAAAAAAAGGAAACGGCCTTTAGGAGGAGGGAGTGTATTCAAATGATGCTACAACCGCTGGAAGTGGTGTTTGCATGGCTTCCCTTGTGACAGTCTGGACTAAAGTCATCCAAAAAGGGTTTGGGTGGAGGAGGAGAGCGAACTTTAGCAACAAGGTGGGTTCGGCCTGAGGAGCTGTGCGCAAGCTGAACAGTGTGTTCCGTCAAAGCCAGCGCGCCGCTCACAAAAGCAAGTCCCGCGCTCCCTCTCGTGGCGCGTTACCACCAGTCAACTCATCGGAACTCAGACCCGTTAGTGGCAAAACCTGCCTGTGCTCACAGCTCTGAGAGGTATCTGGCACCCAGGCTATTCTAATGCTGCTACGTACCAGGCTTAATAGACTTATAAACGCAAATAGCACTGAATTCTCTTTTTTATTGACATTGGGGGAGAAAAATCTTTCACCATCCGATTGACTGAAATTTGCCAAATGAAAGTAGACAAAACAAATGTTTATGTACGTGCAAACATTGCTGATCAAACTGCTAAAAGAAATAACTAAAAGACAGGTCTTGAGCTAAGATCAAGCAGCAGAAAAATAGCAAATAGGTAAATGACTATTAAATAGGTCTTACTTTGAAACTTCCCATTTAAACAAAGAATAAACAACAATAACACCACCAAATAAAGCCACAGCAGGTAATAATTGCTCTTCTAAATTTTTATACACTATATATTGATCGCTCTGTCTTTCAGTTATTTCCTCTGATAAAACTGACTTCTGTGAAGTCTCAGCAAGGCCATCTTGGCTAAAGCATAACGTTAGACAGGAGCCTGTCTAATGCCCTGTTATAATGAAGAAATGGTGGGGTTTGGCTTCTTTTTTATTTCATCTTCTGTGTTGGAATATACTTGGAAACTTGAGAATTGGATTCTATGCAAACATTAGCTTTTATTTTCCAATGCTGGCTGGTGACTGAAGATCCTGGAACAAAAAGGTGGCTCTTGGTAAAGCAAGAATCTTCTTGGTCCGCAGGCAATGTAGAAGAAAGTTTTTGTTTTGTTTTGTATAAATCATGTTTTACTAAATATATTTATTTATTATTATTTTTGTAAACAGTTCTGGATTTAGTTTGCTTGTTTTTTCCAAAGAGGTGAGCCATCATGGTGATTCTCCACAGAGAGCTGACATTTCCATTTTGTCTTTAGAGGTCCATTTTGGCTCCAGTTCCAGGTTATGTCATTCTATTGTACATCATCAGAGGCAGGTGTTCAGCTTGAAATATTGACAGATTTCTTCAGTAAGAATGTGTTGAAGCTTCTAACTCTGCTAAACATATTCATTTGACTGTTACAATCCAAAAACTGTAAAAATGGTGGAATGGAAAGATACAAACAGTATTATTGACACTGTATTGTCAAATGTTTGCACTGAGACCCCATGTACCATAGATTTTATTTTTAAAAAATCATATTTATATCAATTTACATAAGACTTACACATTTTAAAAGAAATACATACACAGTAAATACGTAAATGTCTAGTATTTTACAAGAAAACAGATGGACCGATGTAAGAATGAGTGGCTTCATTTGATAAAAGCTTTGGATGTGCACTACTGCCAAATTTCTGATGACAGAAATGCTGAGAGGAAAGGGGGAGGTTGTTTCATTTTTCTTCTTTTTTAATAATTTAGTTTTTTAAAATTCTTGTTTTAAACTAATCAATACGTGAAAAGAACATCATAGCTCCTTGTCTGATAAAACTTATGTGTTCTCTTCCCTATTACCCTGTTCTTGAAGAGAGTTTTAATGCTCTTTTTCCTAAGTAGTGGTAGTGCACTTCAGGTAAAGTAGAAGAAAGAGATGACATCTAAAGGAAAAAAAAAAACACCATTAATTAGCAAGATTCTTTGATTCTGATTTTGTCTAGGATGCAGTGACACCAACAGAAATATAGCATTAAGTAAGTTATTGCATGTTTTACTAAAATCTTAATATCTGAGTAATTTGTTGTTTAATGTTAGATCTGTCACAAAAATGTATTATTAATAGATCTATATCTTTTATTAATATGTACAGAATGCTGTCCTAGATAAACTCCTATGTATATTTACAGCTATTTCTTTTTTTGATTTATCACTGGATCTTATGATCTTCTACATCTGTAGACCTTGGACTGTTTGGCATGAGGCTGAACGGGTATTTTAGTTGTATGGACCCTGCTGACAACTTAGTGTTTCTCCCTGTTCACTGCAGCTTGCCAGCATACACCACTGTCACACCAGGGGGTGATTTCTTTGTTGTGGACCAGTTGTTTCATTGAGAAAGGACAAATCTGTTTCTACCAAATTCCCTTTGACATTTAATTGAAGCTGCTGCGCTTGAGTTCTGGTGCTCCCTCCCCATGGCAGCGAGACTGTCCTGGCTTGGCCTTCTGCTTTGGGGGTGACATGTCCTTCAGGAGCTGAAGGCAGACCTGGGGAACAGGCTGCAGATGCTGAGGATCATGGACAACGTAGAGCCACCACAGCAGAAGGCTGATTGGTCTCACACGCACTAGGATTAACTTCCCTGCATGTTTAAATGGTCAGACATCTGCAGCCTTAACGCTGAATGTAGCTCTTGAGAACATATTCAGACTGGGCCAACGATGTGAATATAGGTGTCTGGAGGTGCCAGGTCATGTTTTCTGTCCACTCTGATGGTGGTTTCAACAAATGATTAGAAAACACCTATAGTGGAACTTGAAAGTGAATTATTTCATCCGTGTGTAACCCATCCGCAGCTCTCCTTTCAGGCTGCTTTTGCTATGTGTATTCCCATCTATTCTTCCCCAAACTCCCTCATCCAGCCCTCATCCAGCTCAGCCTCTGCTGCTGGGTTAGGCTCAGTCCCATATACATAGAGCCACGAGTGCCACAGATGTTAGTCCACTCTAGGCAAGGCTACAAGACCAGGCCTCCCAGAGGGAGGCTCAGAAGTGCTCACATTTTATATAATTTATCCAAATGAAAAATTAGTCCCTTTGCTTTCTGGATAACTAAGCTACCTGACATATTGCAATTGCACTTAGAAACACTAACATTCTAGTTCATACCATCTCATTCCTTCTTTAAAAGGACTAGGTGTTTCAGTCTTGCTCATATATTAGCCTTTGCAACTGAACACCTGAAATGCAATTTGAAAGGATACAACTTCAACCTTGTTAAGATTGTTTGCACTGGTGCCATAAACTATTTCAAATAAGTTTAAATACCTTGCCTAACTTTGTATAAGCATCTGTTTGGATGAAAATACACACTTTTTGTATATATACATAGTATATATATTTACATATAATACATACTATATATATATTATAAGACCAACAATGGTTTTTCATTTTGCTTTTATACAATTGAGTATAGTGAGAGTATATACAGTTCAGATAATTGTAAATTAATTTTTATTAACATACTCATTTTCAATGTCTGCCCTTGTTGCACTCTTTAAGCTCACTGGAAAAAAAAAATCCTCAGCTGTCTGTCCTATTAAAATTTGGTAGCTTAGATTGCTTGGCTTTTGCACTTGCTTTCCTAGTAAGAATTTCTTGCTTCCGACACGGCAGTGCCAAAAGAGATAGGGTAACATTGAGGGATCAGAGAAAGGAGAAGTGACTCTGCGGCAAGTTTCTGTGCCCACTGAATGCAATGAGTCATGCAGTCTCCTGAACAACTATGAAGTATCTATATTTTCCACAGGTAGAATTTGCTGGTTCCTAAGTGCTTTTTGAACATGCCCAGAATTATTAAAATCTTGATGATGCCAAGCACCCCCAGGGTCAATCAATGTTTCTCGCTGGCTAGAAACAGCAGCAATGCCTTTCCTGCAGATCCTGGCATCTCTTGCCTAGAAAACAGTCAAAGAAGCGCTTAGATATTTGATGCCTGGTGAGGTTTTGGTGGTATCCAAATAGACTTTCCATCTCCCCTATACTTCTCTGGAAAAAAGCAGTATGTGGAGAGGAAAACTAGGTCCCTGAGAAGATAATAGCATGAAATGGTGCCATATTGATGGAAGCGCTCATCATGTCAGTACTTTTTTTTGTAAGAAAGAAGACTGATGATTTCGTATACTTAACAGTATGCTAATGATATTTAGTATACTAAACAGTATTTGCTGCAGAGCTCTGCTTGAAAGGAAAACTGAGATTCGTAGCAACAGTTAAATGGGGAGATACTTAAGCAGTAAGAGCTCCGGTACCAGCCTTGATCCAGGGTTGCATCCATCACCTTTCTTTGCCACTGGTCACTTTTGAGAAAAAATGCAAGAATCTCTGTAACACATAACTTTAGGAGATTTTACATATAGGGATCTTTTTGTCCTATCTATTCAGGTACCTAATGTCCTAGATTGAGTCACAACTCTCATTGATATAAATATCTAGGAAAATGATTCTGCTTCAGTATATTTTACTTTTGTTTGCTTTTCTTCCTAGCTCAGGGTAGAACTATTTCAAGCTCTCAAAGTATTACCTATTACAGTCCCCCCAGTTCTAGCTTTAAGTTTGAGAACATACCAAACATACTGTGCTTGGTGACCTATCATCTGAGGAGAGTGGTCTGAAAAGAGTTGTCTCATCTTCTGAGCATGTGATTGTGACTTGTCAGCAGAGAGACACGCGATGGGGAGGAGTTTTGCGTCTCCTGCACTGAGCTTGAGGCTGTTGTCTTGATGAAAGGGGTTCCCTAGGGAATCTGAGTTGGGTCCTCAGCTCCATGGTGGCTCTCACTTGAGCAGTGCCATTGAGCATTGGGTGCAGTGCACTATTAATTACATGCGTCTTTCATGATCCCCCTTACGAATACTCACAACGATTCAGTGCTGGCTTCTTTGCTAGGCCTTGTCAGCATGAGTATGTGCGAACTGTCGAGCTGTCTAACCTCTGCAGTCGTGATGAAGCAACTGCGAATTGCAAACACACACACACAAACTGAGACCTCTTGAGAAACATGAAGGTAAAACATTCGGTCTATTTCCCACTGGCAGGATGGCCCCTGGATTACACCCTGCCTGTTGATGACATGACTTTGGCATGGTCAAGTTCTCAGCTCGTTCATAAACTGTCTAGACGACCTCTGACAAACACATAAATACCCCCTGTGCCTCTGTAAAAATGTGAAGAGTATCTTTTACTTCATGGTATGGCCAGAAGATAAAACCAATATTTGTAAGGTTCTTAGCTTACTAATGCAAGACGTGGAAATACCTGGGGAACTGATACCTTCATTTGTAAATGCAGTTTGCCTTCAAATGGATTCTTCTTGTCTTTTGACTCTGTCATTGCCAAAAAAAGTGCAAGACTAAAAGCAAAGCGTGCACATGAGCAGTGGAGGCAATGGAAGATAGGGAAGCAGTCAGTGCAAGGGACAGTTTTAAAAGGTGAAAGACTGCAGTGGAATTCAGGCAGCTACAGTGCTACATCAAGGTCTTTAAAGAGTTACAAAATGTAAGAACTACCAACAGTTTGTTAGATTTCCTTAAATAAACAAGTTATTAATAGTTACACGTAACAATAGTTACATAAGGAAACGAACAGTTGGTAGTACTTGGAGTGGGCCAATTTGTGTACCAGAACTTCCTGAGAACTTCAGATCGGCATACAGGCATGGTTTTAAAGTCCATGTATCCCAAGAAATAGCTGCACTGGGGTTTGCCCCTTGTCGCAAATTTTCATTTTACTTTTATTTTTATTACGACCTGGTTGCTACTTGTTCAAACAAGTTAGTACATCTTTTCAGAGTTTAAAAGATTTTAGGAAAAAATTAAGACTGGTGTTCAGTAACTGCAATTCAGTGCTTGCTAACTGCACTACCTGTCTGCTTATGTTTAACTGTTAGCAGCTTCAGTTGTTTGATACTCAAAGTTAAGTTGGTTCGTCTGAAGGCCAAATAGGAAAATAACGACAGACCCTCTTCCATGTTCATTCTCTAAAATAAAATCCATCTAGAGAGGTTTATGAGCTGAAACAAATCGCTCAGAAGCTATCTGCAAGCTTCCATGAAAGCCAATAAATTAATTAATTCCTCTCTTCCTGAATGGTTCCTTAGCACCCAGGAAGATGCAAAGGTTAGATTTTGGGGTTTTTTAAATGAACCTTGACATTCTGAATTAAAGCTGAAAAAATTATAGCATTCCAGGTGAGTGCTTCCCAAATTCAGGTTTTCCGGGTTTCGTTCATGCTCGCACTAGTTAAATGAAGTCAGCCACCCTGTTGAAAGGCAGACATGCACTAAAAGTCAACGTAACGCGCCAGGAGCAGCCTCCTCCTGCTCCCCAACAGCAAGTGCAAGTCGCTGCCTACCGTCCGTTGCCATTTTCCGTGACTGCCCTGACGTTGTGGTCAGTCTGAATCCCGCTGGCAGCGTTTCCGAGGAGCCGGGCATCATGCTGATCCCGTGCACCTCGCGCGGGGGAAACTGCCGTCGCCACGAGGGGCCGCGGCGGAAGTTCTTGTCATCGCTCTGTCGAGGAACAGGTTTGCGTTTGATGAAGCAAAACCAAATCTGTGGTTAATTACCCAGCTGCCCCTCCTGCTACCACGTTCATCTCACGGCGAATACCCTGCTCCGTCTTTGCATCCAGTAACTAGTATACAGAATTTATCCCACATTTTGGGCATTCAGTCCTTAAACCTTTTACTCCTCATATGTAGAAAACAAGACTTGAACATTTTTTTCAGTGAACTCTAACATGAAGATTTTCTATAAATGGATCTGAGATTCCCCATCCCAAATAATTGCCCCATCCCAATTCAAATTCTACTACAGCTTGATTATCTTTAAAGAAAAGAACAAGCACACACTTTCTCTATTTTATTTTTCTCTACCACACTTTCTCTATTTTATTTTTTTCCTCTCATAACTGCCCTAACAAATAGGCTACAGAGACATTCCCCAACTTGCTCTGGCCAGTGCAGTTTCCATTCCTTTCTGTATGTGTCCTCTATAGAATAAGTTCATTTAAGGTAAGAACACCAAGCAAATTATTTTGAAAAATAATTTTGAATAAGCAATAATAAAGAGGTTACTTAAAAAACCCTGACCTTGGCATTCCTTTTTTTTTTCAGCTGTAACTGGCTCTAACAACTTACGAATTAACATATCTTTGTGCATTGCATTACATTTTTACAAATATTTTCCTGTGATATTTTATAAATATTTTAAAGAAAATTAATTACTTCCTCAAGTCTTCTTTCAGTTCCTAGTGCTAAAAGGTTGTTGTATTCTCTCTCAAGGATCTGCCGTGCCTAGAGATACCAAAGGAAACAATAAAACGATTGAGGTTGAATAAAAAATGATTAATAGGTACAGATTAACAAGAAGTAGCATGAACAAACTTGCCTGGGTGTTTTGTGTTGGTATCTGTAATAATAAAGCTAAACTGCTGTAATCGAAGTTTTCATCAAGTGCTATAAGTGAACCATGTACACCACTTTCTAGAATATTATTTGCATATTCTCGTAGGCCAATAGCTTGTATCCAGCGTATGACTCGATCATTGCTCCATACCAGCACATCTGTAAGGACATAACATGAGTTCAGTCTCCTGAGATGTGATAACTTGCAAATTGTACAAGTCCATGGATATAGTTGTGCATGCACTGGAGATGTCCTACGGCTTTAGTTTTCATATGAGGAATGATAGCTATTAATATTAACTCAAATGGCTTCACTACCTCCTATCAAAACCTTAGGTGTGGTAGGATGTGAACACTGTGATTTTATCCACTTTAACTTAAATGTTTATTCTAAACTATATATGTTTCTAAAGGAGAAAGGTGTTCCAGAAGGCACCTGCAGAAGACAATTCCTCCCACTCTCTTAGATACCTGTTGCCCTTTTCTCTTTTATCAAGCTGGTATCTTGCAGAGGAGGGTGTCTCATGCACCTTCCAGAGTCTCATTTCAGATGCTGTGCTTAGAAAGTAACCCAGAAAAAGAAGCTTGAGAAAGCAGAGTGGTGTCATTACAGACACACACATTTAAAGAAAAAGAAAAAGGAAAAAAAAAAAAAACCTTTTCAAATCCCAGGCAAGGTTTTACAGCTTAACAGTGAAAGGGAGCAGAAGAAATATCTCTTTAAGGCTTCATTTGAGAAATTTGTCTCAAACATTTTGAGAGTTGGGCCAGCACCTGCCATTTTACAACATGCCAGGAAGTAAACTGTGAATTCACAGAAAACACAGAATTCACAGAAACTATTTTTACTTCTAGACGTTGGTCCATGCCAGTTATAAAGATAAGGCAACAAAAGGAGCTACAAAAACATTTTTTAGGATCTGGCTATTAAGAAGAAAAAAAAAAAAAAGACCAACCCTGTATGTAACCTCCATCCTGGACCAAGAGCATCTCAAGCTTGGCTAAAACACAACGTGGCAGCCAGGAATCACCAAGATGAAGTCCCAATAGGAACCACATCTATCTATCTGGTGGGTGTGGAAGAGGTGAAGGTTGGGAGGAGGCCAGTGGCCCCCATGGTGAGGAGGGCTACCTTGGAGCTACACCGCAACCTCAGACCGATACCCAGCTCCTCCGCCTGAGTCCTGGGTGGCACCCGGACGAGCTGACTGACACTGGGGCCATCTCCACATCCTTGCATTCATGGTAGCCACTCACTCCTCCTCTCTAGTGCCCAGCTTTTTTAGCTCTTCCCATCAGCATTGCACTTGAGAAGCATTAAGTGCTGTCAGAGCCTGCAATGCTTAAAGAAATCAGAGGATTCACTTCTGACAATGGGAGACAAACCCTTACGGTCACATATAAGAACCACCATACAGGGAGCTTCCAAATGCCCTAGGGAGCTTTATACTGGAAAGACAAGAACTCAGTAACCAGCTATTAACTCTTTGAATAAGCCCAACTCTGTTAAGAACTAACCTTTTAGATCAAAGCCTGACAGAGAGCAAATATTAAATTGCAAACTCTTTCCTCCCACAGCTGCCTCGGTGGTCACCCCTCCAAGTAACTTGACTGTAAAGCACATTTTAAAATAAGAAATCAAAGGCAAAGATTGTTCAGAAGCAGAGAGGTAGTGTTAGGGCCCAAAGTCCTCAGATTTCCCATGTTGTTCCCAGCAAGTTCCACTGAGGGTATCTGGCCTCGTGTTTCTGAAACTGCGGAAGGCTGGGATGAGATCTGCCCCGGAATCCAACTTAGCAAATGGTACAGAGATCAAACCACTCAAAATTACAAGCCCAGTTTAGCAAAGTACTTAACTGTGCATAATTTGAGAAGTGTTTCTGTGTTCTGAAAACAGGGATGGACTTATGTAAGCTCTCCTTTAAGCACATGCTTAAATGCTTTGCTAAAATGGCATGACAAGGGGTTGATAGTGTGAAGCTTCAAAAGAAGAAACATTCCCAGTATTCATTCCCAGGAGCTATCACCTTTTATTTCATGCTGACTCATTTCTCTTCGCTTTTCCAGTTCTTTTCTATCATAATTCAACCTCTTTAAACACATGATTCCATATTGCAAGCTTGTTCTGTTATTTAAAGAGAAACATTTACAGAGTTAATAAAAATAATTTCGAAGATGGGAACATATTTAGGATGTATTTATTTCCTGCATTTCACATGAGATGCTTCATGGTGCTCATGTAGCAAATGTCAAGGCACCTGGGGAGAGCACAACCATAAAAAGAGCTCCACAGACTTTAAAAATGAAATGGTCAAAATGCAAATGAAGACATCTGAATACATGATGTAACATAAGAAACCCTAGCAATAATTTTTTTCTGAGTATGAAAGTCGACCCGTTGGAGCCCATGGAAATGTTTTGTCAAATCATGCCTTACAAAAAAGTGTCAAAACAGACAGACAAGCAACCAACCAAACAAAAAACCCACCCACTCCTTGTCATACTACCATAATTCCCCATAAAGCCTAAATGACTGTGTTTCACTATTTCTAGTTTAGCTTACCAGTTGTCTCCCTAGACAACCTGACCATCAATTGTTTTTATTCTTAACAGCTTTTGTGTGAGGCACCCAACAGCACTTCATGAATGTCAGATGTCTGACCTTCAGGTCTTGGTCTACCAGCTTCTGACCCTTTCGACCACTTAAGAAATTGTTACTATTTATGTATTGTCAAAGCGTAATGCATACATTAACAACTCTTTGCTCTGCATTTTGGAACTATCTATAACAATTTGTAGTTATGAGAGACAAAATTGCAGTGCGGTAGTTGCTATTTCTGAAGGAACCTTTCTTGGGTCTGATTGCTGGCCCTTACTTTCTGTGCAGTTGGCCGTGCATCAACATTAAAAATAAAGTGCTTTTACTCTGGGCAGCACTGAACACCACATCAGGCAAATAGAAGTCTTTAAACGTGTAGTCGTTACGTGAACATACCGATGAAAGCTATCGACCATTTTTAAGTGCACACGCAGATCTTTCTTTGTCAGATGATCTAACATCCTTGCATCTACCAGGCACTCCATAAAATAACTGCGATACTGAGGTAAGCCCAGACTGGGGAGCCATTCGTTACCTATCCATTCGTGGTTCATATCGCCATAAGCCAGGGTCTACAGAAAAAAAAAAGGACAAGAATTTGTTTTGGTTGTTTAAGCCTCTACCATGAAATGAAGACAACAATATATGCTATTTCTTTCTAGTACAAGCTCTCATTTTAGGAAGCTTGACTTAGAACAGCTTGTTATGGTTGTGCATTATTCCATCATTTGAACTGCTGGACACTGTAAGATATTTGTTACTAATAGCAACAGTTTTACTTTGCTATATTTCATTTTCTGGCTTTGCAAAATGTTAAAAACTGTTGTAGTAAGAAGTTATAGTTTCAAACCAGAAACCTCCGACTCCTGGAGCACTTGTGCTAGGCTTCAATTTGGAAACACAGATTTGGCCTCAGTGAAGCAACCGAAGTTTGGGCCAGCCTTTAATGGGAGCTTTGATTTCCTCAGTGAGATCTAACGACTGGTCTCATTAATGCAATTCCTGATTACGCACCCGTAGTCCTTCAGAGACTATGGTTGAGACTGTAACCAGCTTATAGCTAAGTGCATCAAATGCAGAGCTCAGTAAATTACTTCTTCAAAACAGCAGCAAGCCACAGATACTTCCAAGAAGCCACTGTGCAGGTAAGTATCAGTCTGGCCCGATGCAAAAGTGCTTTCTCTTCTTGGGAGCTACCAGATGGAAGCAGGTCCCTTCATGAGACCTGACTCAGGGATTGGTTTCAGGCCTCTCTTCAAAGCTTAGTTGTGTCCATTATTTTATCAGATGTTACTCCAAATGAAAACCAGAGAGCGAAAGTTAGGAGGGGAGTTTGGCAATAGGTGGACTAGAAATAACCCCCTCAGCTTTAGTTCTTGCTGGACTTTAGGGGGAAAAGGAATGCACTAAGTAACAGGAATGAGATTGTGTATGTTCATGCATGGAGAGGACTGCAGATCTTGGGAGATGAACGTATGGGTACAGTATGCTCCTTACTGACTGATACAGCTGGAAAATGCTTTCCATTGGCATCTGGGTAATTCCAAATGTCCTCATTCCTTTAGAGTATTTCTGCCCATGGAACTGTTCAGCTTCAATAACAAGATATTTGCAGCTATTTCCTTGGATTCTCTTTTCTAATTCCTTATCATTCCTGGAACATTAACAAATCTTTAATGGATGGCCCTGTTAAGTATAGGACTCTACTGAGGCCCTGAGAAAATCACGCTGTAGAGCAATTAGAGAACAATTTCATTATGCTGTACAGCAATTTCCTTTTGGAAATATATTTGCAATCTCTTTGTGATTTACCCAGTAAAGCTGTCCAGAAAATATTTTATTTGTATTACAGCAACTGTAAAATGTAGTAATTACAATTCAATCCTTGTGCTAATGTCACCAGACTCCTCTGCTCCTACTGATGCAATGTGAGCTGCACTATCACTTGTTTTCCCTTCGAAAAGTGATGTGAAAGGGTCATACCTGAGCCCAGCTGCCTTCTTCAGATTTTTTCTGTGTAATCAGCAGAAAAAAAGGAAGGAATAGTAAAGCAGGTAAAAAGACAATAAAAAAAGAGTTAAAAAAGAGATGCTGTTTTCATGCATATGGTCATCTTTTAGAACAAATGAAAACATACAGGTAAAATGTGCCAATAAAATATCTGAACTCATGTCAGTGGCAATGCTCTGGACTAAATCACCTGAAGAAATACAAGTTAAGGTGAAGAACACGTAAGCTTAGTAAAGCACATCTAGCTAGGTTTTTGAGGTATTTGAGGTCTTTATAGCTTGGTGAAACTTTACAGCATTGTCTCAAGCTCTTTTTATAGTTTTCCAGCCAAAACAGTCATTTGTTTTCCAAAGCTGAGTATTTGTTGGTTCTACTTAAATATTGTAACATGTACAATAAAAGATGTGTCTTTGTGAACAGATTGTAAAAGAAGGAACTTTTTTTACATAATCTTTTTTTATAACAGAAATATATTGCTTTATCTGTCCAGTCAACCAGGATCAGCTGTATTTCTGGCCAATTGAGTGTTGTTATTCTGATAGTTATCTTTACCAATAATAATAAAATTCAAAAACAGCTTAGTTGTAAAACACACGCACACACAAAAACAATATAAAAAAGCATACCGATGACAATTTATTTTATGAATGTGTGTACAGGCTAAAATGATAAGAAATCAGCCTTGCATTAAAAATTAGGTTGAGCTCCTTCCCCCACGATTTATCAATCAATCAGGCTGACCATAAAGCTTTTGAAACTAGAGATAGGGTTTTCACACACACTGTGCATTGTCTTTTGTTGCTAGCGAGTTGTTGCTATGAAATAATGAACCACTAAAACAAAACGTAAAATAGCCTGTGTTCCAAGGCACTGTAAACAACTGGAACTGTTGACTAAAATCTACCAATGTGTATTTGGGTCCCCAGTGAAGCTAGGAGAGATTTGCCAAAAATACATAAATGACACGCTCTGCATGTCCTAAATCAAAGAACAGGAATGCACTGGGGTAGACGTGGGAAGACTCAGTTCTGCTGAAAACATTGGATTGTGATCATGCACCATTCTCAAGCCTTTCTTGAGTTGTTTCTTTCCGTTTCATCAGAAGCAGATGAATGGATGTGTTGTACTTGAAATAACTACAAGTTCCTTTCCCACTGGCAGTGAAGCTGTAATGTACCATAAGACTCCAGCACAGTATGGCTGTTAGGTTGCTACAGGCTTTGTAGTTGCAACAAGGTTGCAACTCTCTTTTGCAGAGAAATGACATAACTGTCCTTGAAATTCAGTTTCACTACTGCTTTTGCCTTTCTAACTGCATGCTTGGGAAGGCGATATAGCATTGGTGGAAAAGCAGATACGTCTCATTTCTGGCACCAAAAAACTCCAAACATTTAAATGAAATTGGAGAGACTAACCGTTTTAGCCGGAGCAGCGAGATTTTCCATTTCTTCGTGGGTCACCCAGACATTGCCTGAGGGCTATGAACAAGGCCCGCAGGAAGCAGGTGCAATCCGCAATAGGTAAGCAGTGGTAAAGAAGAAAGGCAGCACCACTGTAAGTTAACAGCGTATAGCATCACGGTCAGCACGGCACGGCCCGGCCTCTACCGCGCGGCAGCCGGCGACGGCCTCTCGCAACGCGCCCGCGCGCGCTGCTCTTTAGGGGACTCCCAACACACGTCGCACGTGTTATTCCTGCTAGCTCCACTGGACGACGTGTTTGATCCATCAGAGTACCGCCCCCAGAGGAAAGAGCAAAAAGTAAGAGTCAGGTTTTGTGCCCAACCCGCAAATGCAACCTCTAGGTCATGACTCTGTCCAGAGGGAAGTTTCCTTTCCGAAAGGCTTTCAGGTCTAAATACTCTGCGTGCATCATATGATCCTTCTGTAGCTAAAGAAACATTACTGCCCATAATGTATGTCAAGACAAGTCAAGAAAATTCATTTGCAGAATGACTTGATCCCATACTATTGTTTTCAATGGGATTATTGCTAGGACAGTGGGATAAGGAAGGGGAATGGAAGCACCAGTGCCCATAGAGTGAAAGGTGCCAGGTTTTCCTGAGGGCAAAAGTAAATTGACTCTTTTTGGAGCAAGAGGAAGGCAGCATGACTTGTGGAAATGCACTTTCCACAGTAGTATAGCTTCCTGCAGCCAATTATTCAGGAAAAGAGCAGAAATGAAGAAGATTTATTCCCAATATTTATAGTTTGGATGTATTGGTTTCTCATGTCACAAGTGTCAATTCTCCTATGCTTTGAATCAAAAAAAAAAAAAAAAAAGAAATCTGTTTAGTAATTGATAGTTGCATTGAGTTCATCATGCTTTACTTAAACACTTATATTATGGTTCACAGTATTATCGTGGTTATAAGATATACAACAATTCTGTGAAGAGAAAGTATCAGATGAATAGCTATAATTTTTAAAGAACCTTAGAAATGTGACAATAAAATACTGTTTGACAGGAACATCAGATTTTTATTGTCCAGCTTCCCAACTGCCCATGTAACTCACTGATTCTGAATGAAATGCTGAAACCCCCTAAAGATATTGCAACTCTAATTCCCACCAGAAGATTCTTTATAAATTGTGTGAAGGTTAGCGATGAGAAGAAATGAGAATATTATTATTATAATAATCTCAGTACTAGAAGTCTGAGCAGCACAATTTGAGTAGTAGTCTTCATTCTTCACCTCTTTGCTGTATTTCTGATCAAGTCTCATTTTTCTCCTTATTTTGCATTTTTGTTTCAGAGTCTGCTGCCCCTTTCATAGTCACCACTAAAGCCACCACTGCCTGGCTCTCATGAAATTCCTCTTTCATTACTTTATTTCTTTTTCTCGCTAACGCTGCCCCACCGTATTTCTTCATTGTCCAACAAAATGTGCTTTGTGTTTATAGTACACACATTCCCACTCTTCTGCAGTTTACTTTGTTACTCTTCTTTCCTCTTTCCTTTCAGACCTGTAACTCCTTCATTTTCTCCTTCATCTTCCTCTCCCTCCGATGACATCCCCTCTCCTCTCCCCTCTCTGCTGAAGGCCTGGCCTCCACTGCTCCCTTCGAACTCTCCCCACCTCGATTTATTGCTGCTCTTGAAACAAGAAGCATGAAGAAACTAGTCAGCAGATTCAGACTCGGTAATGTTTTGAAAGAATGCAATAAAGGGGGCGCAAGAAACAGGTCTCGAGAGATCCGTGTTCCTACATGACCTTCCCCTGCCAAAAAAAGGTTGAGTGAGAAACACAATTTGATTTCATGTGAGAGGTGACTTGAAGGAAGAAAAAGGCAAAAAATACAAGCAAAATTACAAATAAGATTCTCAGTATTGATCATTTAGGTAACATCAAGGTTAATCAAAAGCACATCTGAAAAAGCAGAATATGCACTAAAGGAAAAATACCAGCAATCACGAATCAAGGCTGTGACGAGTAGGTACTTCTTGCCTCTACAGGACCATTCGCACTGATTTTGAAGTGGGTGTTATCCCAGCTATGAGCCGCTCTTGTGCTGTAAGAGTCTTTCTGCAGACTCTTACAGAGGCAAGCAGGGAATAAAAGTTAGCTGAACATGACTCACTGTTCTGGATGTTGGAGGCGCTGATGGACTCGTAAGAGAGACCATCTCCTGGATTGCTAGGCGCAGTTTCAAGCGATGAAGAGGATTGCTGATCCCAATTTCTCTCTGAATCTCAGTATCAGACAAAGCCGACATGATAGCTCCGCTCTTGACGTTGGCGCGGCAGGCAGCGACGTACCAAGCTGGCATTCCTAGCCAGAGCTGTGGAGAGAAGGAAGCCATCAGGCATGCTGTCTTTCACAAAATTAGTCCCCAAGGCACCTAGCAGCTTGAATAAGCCTCATAATACATGCAAATGAGAATTATTATCGTAATCATTTAAAAATACGACATTGCTTCCAAATCTTTGAAATTGTCATGACTTCGTATGAACACTTTGTTTCTTTCATTGTGAACAGAAATTTAAAGCAAGGGATGTTTTCAACTCTTCTTAGTGCTGTCCACTGCCATCACTTGGACTACTCCTTTCCTGGGCCCTTCATGAGCAAAGACTGACAAACATCAATATGGCTGGAAAGTTGCTTGACAGTCTTACCACAGATAGAAAATCACCGCATTGCAACTTATTAACCATTTTTCTTTTTTTTTTTTTTTTTTACTGTTGTGCTAAAATAGGTTTCTCTCTCTTCCCATGCTAGTCCCAGGCTGTCATTTTTTTTTAGAACAAATAAGGAGATGCCCAGCCTAGTGAGACCTGAGGTCTTCCTACAAATCTCTCTCACAGGTCATTATGTGCCAGCTAGAAATTCCTGCCACCAAAATGTGACTACAGCTATGTCACCTCTGGATTCAGTAGATGATAGGTATTTGTCACTTGAGGCTTTTCCTTTTCTTACCGTAGTCTTACCAGCTTAGGTTAGTGACAGCACTTCCAGTAGCCTTGCCTGGTACATACTCTCTTAAGAATTTTGCTAGGTTTCCTCTGCTTACTCATCTTGCGCTGCTTCATTCCTATGACTGTGAGTGTCTACGGATCTTTTCTCCCAAAGGACATCATTTCCATAATAGGGATACATACCTGCGGGAGGTTTTTGTCACAGAATGAAATTCATCCTGCTGTAGAGAAAAGAAGGCCTAAGCAGTGAATGCCACAGCCACTGAAACACTGGGGGATCACATAATCAAAAAGACAGTCAGACCTAATTAGGTGCTTGACTCTAGGGGACAGCTGATGAGCATGAAGCCTGGGAGAGTAGATACTTCATTCTTGAGAGTAGCCCTCACCTGCCCTCTTGCCTCAGAGCATATATGGATCATACGAATGAACTCAGTGAAGTCCCTGAGACCTCTATCTCCCCATGCATTGCAAAAAGACCACTCAAAACTAGCTGCTTACATGATTTTCAGAGTTAACTCTTAAAAATGGCTTACTAAAGTGAACATAATATCTAAGAAATTAAGCAGTACTTAAGCAGTACTCAGTATTTAAAATGTATCTCAACAATGCCTATGCTACATGCAGACGACCAGAATAAATGCTAAGGTAGGGAAGTTAAGCCCTGAAAAGTTTGGAAATGTCACAAAACAATCATATCCACTATTTTTACTTTACCTTTTTGCTCTTTTCATGCTAATTTGGGCTTATATTCCAAGATCACCTGCTAGGCTTTCCCCAAGAGGATATGAAATGCACAGTGTCCATCTGCCAACTGTGGACATCAGCTCACTGGATAGATTCAGTATTTCTACCCTCATTGCATTTTATCATCCATAAATCCAGGTATGCAATCTGCATTCAATACGTAACTACAATATAAACATCCTCATGGGTACTCCTTTGCTGCTCTCATCATATTTCCTGAGAAGTTCACATAACATACACCAATTTCTGTTTATGGCCCCTCTCTCAAACCCTGGGAAACATATCCTATTTTGCAGCAAAAAACAAACCAAAACAAACAAACAAATCCAAACCTTTCCAGACAATCAGTTTTGACTGTAGTAGTGACCATTCTTGGCTAATACAAATCTAGTTCTCAGAGACTCTCAAAGTTATCTAAAAAAAGTCATTTAGCAGCCAAGCCAGTATACTGAATCCTCCTTATTAGTAGAGATTGTTTCTTTTGAAGGAAGGAAGATATCATCCCATTTTGCAAGGTAATGTCCAAATGCTTTTCATTTCATCTTCATTAGGCACCTTCAGCAAGGATAACATGATGCAAATGTTTTGTATGGTAATCTCTGAGCCAATCCAAAATTTGCAGTTTTCATCTTCATTAGGCACCTTCAACAAGGATAACATGATGCAAATGTTTTGCATGGTAATCTCTGAGCCAATCCAAAATTGTGTATGAAGACTAAACTGTGTCTGTCAGCAATGGGGAAGAGTAGCTACTTCCAGAGAGACTGTCTGAACACACTTTTTCTTTTTCAGGTGCTATCTTAAAATGGGATGACTCATTCACATAGCTACAATAGGATAGTATGAGATCTATCTTGACTTTGCCACCTTAGCCTTTAGGATAGCACTTTTTTTAGTCACTTTTGTTGAAATTTTAGGGTTTTTTTTTTTTTTAAGAAGGGAAAACCCAGCAAATTGGTGACATCCACAACAGTCATCAGAATATGTGGGACTACACAACCATAGTAAAGGCACTTGTTTTTGGAATCAGCAAAGAGCATCAAGCTGATACTGCCTTGCCATGTGAGAGTCGTTCTGTACAAAATGCCTTCTCCTACCAACTCCTCAAAATCAGGATAAGTTTTTTGTTTGTTTGTTTGTTTTAATAATCTCTTCACCTAAAACAACAGTTCATGGCTTTTTGACAAGCATGGTGGATAGCTTTTCTGAAAAAAATATCTGTGGACATGTTCCTAAATCTATTCAGACTCATTGAGATATAGAGGGTAGCTGAGGGAGAAAGAAGGAATTGAGAAAGGGTTCTGAAGCCTGAAGGCGGGCTTTTCAATACAGAAAAAGAAAAAAGTATTTATTTTGTCTCCTTTTATCTTTAAGTTAGAATAAGAATGGGACGTTAGAACTTAGCTGTCACATCCCTGTGAAATATTCAGTCCCTGGGGATCGAAATATAGCCATGAAAATGCCCCTCATTTGACATACGGGAGTCATTTACAAAGCCTTCCAGTGAAGATACTCCATGTTGTATAGTGCACTTACTAGAGTTGGGGTTGAAATCCGAGAATTTTTTTTTGGCAACCTTTTCCTAAAAACTATTTATTTTCTCTAAAAGTGGAACTGGTGCAATAGGTGAGATAAGGACACAGCTCTCCGAACACAGGAGAGCTTCTAACACTAGATCAGATTTCAGAGATGAAGGTTCTGCTGCATTCATTCCAAAGATATTTCCACATAGATCTCCCAAGTCCCATGTGAAAGAGCCTAAAGAAATAGTTCTTTTGGTTTTGAATGATATCTAAGTAAAAACATAATGAGAAAGAACTGGCTAAGAGGCGAGAAAGTCACAAGTTCTTTAAATTCATTCGAAATTCTGAAGATGTAGGTACTGAGTTAACCTCAAATAAAATTCAACAGCTCATTTTTATTTCTTCATTTGCACGCCATCCTACATACAACACAGGCTGTAGATTCCACAGACATTTAGGGGACAGAGAAATTATGAGATTTCTGAAATTGAGAGTTCAATGGCAGCTTCGGCACAGGCGACATTCCCATGATAATGAAACTTTTTCTTCCTGTCCCTGTCCTCCTGAAGTCCTGTGTCTTTTTTGCCAGCTGTGGTCTCTGATTCATACTGTCCAGCATCCATATCTGCTTAGTGCTCATGTCTCAGGGAACAGGAGTAGGGGAGCAACACTTACCTCCAGCCAGGCCACCACTGTGGGTCCATCCCACTGTGCAAAAGGCAAGCCCTTTCTCCGAGCTTCTTCCAGAAGTTCATGCCTAAAAATGGGTCAAAAAATATTCAGTGTGCACAGGTATGTGTCCCTACACATGATGCAGACCCAACTGTGGATTGCTGTTAAGGGCAACAACAGCAAAGGACTTGCCTTTTTGCTAGTAATCTTTTTGTTTTAAATGAGCTGTAAAAACAACCAAAGCAACATATTCCTCATTCTGTGCCCAGTTATTTTCAATCCCCCTTTCTTGCTTTATTTTTGTCTTCCTTTTAAATACCTAGCAAATAAAAGGAGTGGTTTCTCTCTGTCCTTACCTGAAATAACAGGGCATTGGGATGCCCAAAATAAAAGAATCACACAGATAATACAGACTATTGGACACAGCCATGCAGAAAACTCAGGGATTCCTCGAGGGATCAGATACTGGTAAATAAAGACTATTTGGACACAAAGTGTCAATCCTAGGCCTCAGTTTACCTTAGATATTAGGACGTAACAGAGCCTAAGAGATCTTTGTGTTTGAAACACTAAACTCTGTTGGAGTATCTATGCAGAGTTCTGGGATCTCTGGAGTGCAGATATTCTGCATCTTAAATAAATTATCCATGGCTAATTAGGAGCTGGAGGTAGCTTTACTATTTTTTATTGCTTATCAAAAAAAAAAAAAAAAAAAAGTCATTTACTATCTATGTGGTTCCCAAAGCTCAAAATACAATTTTAATACAGCAGAAATAAGTATTTGGTAAAGTTATGTACAGGTCAGCCAGCTAAACTATCAGGAAACTCCCTCTGCATTAAATATGCTAAACAATTTGCCCAGACTAACAGACTGCAGCTGGAATGCAGAACAGAAATAAAGAAGTCGTTGTGGTAGTGTAGAATAAGCAGTCCTTCAAAAGTCTTTTTTTTTAATATTAAACAAAGTACTTTTAGCTGCCTCCTGCTGAGAGAAACACAAAAGATCGCTCTCAGCAACAAGCAGTACTGAAAAACAAATCAGATGGGTATTATGCAAATGCAACATTAAAATTTTCTTACATTCCCTCATAACAAGAAACTCTTGGAATTATAGCTTCAATTTTTGCTCCTTTATTACTACAGCCTTTGTGAATCACAGATCCCGTGGCGATGCTTTCCTGCCGCGCAGCCCGTCACACGCAGGCACAGGCAGATAGGGCTGATGGAGCCCTCTCAGTTGCAGGAATCCCTATGGGGATTCGTGCACTGCTGAGGGACCAGGCTGGGGGAGAATTTGTTTTCTGCAAAAAGTGGAACCCAAATAGCTATTCTGCGTATTTATTTTAAATGCCTTGCTCTATATGTTGATAGAACGACAGCCACTGTAATGGCTATGTTTCTTCTATAGCAATATAAAATCCTCTGAGCATATGGACAACATGTTACCTACAGTAGCTGGTGGAGGTGTGGAAATCCCAAATTCCCAAAGAGAAAAACCACTGAAGGCTGATGCAAGGCCACGGATGAAGCTGCCCAGCACAGCAGCATGATTCCTCTACAGGGGGTGCTCACCCGGCTACGTGGGGCTTCTTACACTTGAGTTGGCCTGAACCTTGGTTTGGAGATTTAGCGTTACTCAAGTGCTTCTCAAACAGATAAAAGGAGAGCACTTCTATTTACTGATTGCTTGGCACCCAGAACTAATGCAAAATATGGTTCTCGTTCTTGATTCTGGCTGAAGAAAATGCGACTGGGCCAGAAAGGGTATGCTTTATATAAATGCTACAGTCAAAGACTACAGTATAAAAACTTATAATCCAAAAGAGTCTGGAGAAGTAGAAGAAAAATGTTTTTCATTTTGAAAGACATTTAATGCAAGGCTAAACTTCATTACATACATCCACAGGATGGGGAATGCAGCCATCATAAAGCCGGCCTGTGCCTCACAATGCAGTGGAAAGCAGGATTTTTATACTATTTATTTCCCTTAAAATAATTTTATACTTGAGACCTTATATTTCCTTTCCATAGAGTTTCATTTAAACACCTTTCTAATATTAAAGCTTATATAAATTGTATTTTCTTTTTTAACAGTACTCTTCAGATACTTTTTGATGTGCAGCATTAAGTGATCTACATAACCTGAACCTTCATTTCCTAAACCAGAAATAAAACCAGACTTTCTCCTTCTTGACTGAAAGAGAAAGATCTTTAGCTGATGGTCACAGCAAACTCTCATCTTCGGATATGAACTAAAAAACACACCATTTTGCCAGAAAGGTTATGCTGTGCAATAACTATGCGGTATTTTGATCAATACTGAAAATCGTCAGAATATGAATTAGGTAATCTGAGTATTTTAAAATAGAATTTGGGTATTTTAGAACTGCAAACAGGCACCTGCAGTATTTTTCCTTACAAAACAAGACAACTAATTAGAAGGGGAAGAAGAAAAGCATATATGAGTAGCAAAATAGAGCTCACTGCTCCCTCTCCCTTTCTCTAAAAAGGCAAGGTTTAGTAACAGAGAATAGCACAGTACAGTTCTCTTAAACTGGAAGGTGCTGACTGGAAAATGTCGGAATGTTCCTCCCCTAAGATTTTGTCTGGAAAACTTACTGCATGTTATAATGTTATAATGTGTCCACTTTGCATTGCTAAGGAGGTAGGGAATTAAAATGTAATTATTTCCATGCTCATCTAGTTTTTTTTAGTGAAAACAAGCTGATATGAAAACAAGCTGATAAGGAAGACTTGACATTAATTAGGCTTTGCTCTAAATTGCATTATTTTACAGATAAAGCTTTGAACCCCGTACTACCGCTGGACTGAATTCCAAATTAAAGTCATATTTCAAAGATAACATTATTATTGTTGCAGAAGAAAATCCTCTTCCTGAAGACTGTGGGAATAACTGCAATATGCTGTTTAAACTATGTCATTACTTATGTTCCTCACCATGTATCTGGTTTTACAAAGCAAGGAAATTTCCTTAATGCCATCACTTAGTATTCATCCAAAAGCTGAGAGATGCTTGTATTTATCTTTTTTACAGAGAGTGCTTCAAAGCAATTTTTTTTTAGCATCACTATTTACCAAACCAGAAATTCAGGTTAGATATTAGTAAAAATTTCTACACAGAAGAGTGGTGGAACCACTCTGTGGAACAGGCTGCCCAGGGCAGTGGTGGGGTCACGGTCCCTGGCAGTGTTCAAGAACCACACAGATGAGGTGCTTAGGGGCATGGTTTAGCAGGCAGGGTGGTGATGGGTTTATGTTTGGGCTTGATGATCTTCAGGGTCTTTTCCAACCACAATGATTCTATGATTCTATGATTGGCCAAATTGCCACTAAAACTCCATAAGGTTATTACTTTTGCTCTGGTACTTCAAAACTGTGTTTAACAGGAGCAACATATAGCTGAATAGATGAATGTGTAACTGTCTCATAGCATGGAGGCTAGAATGCTCCAGTATCCCTCCGGACATCACAGGTGCATGGGAACAAATGGAGGGAGGAATGAATGCTGAGAGAGAAAACTGTGTGAAAACTAGGTCATAATCCATGAAATTTCCTGCTGCCTCTACATTCTTCCCTTACACGGGGCAAATTCTAGCTCTGTATCAGCAGCCCGCACCAATTCATTGCATAAAAATTAATGAGCTTGGCTTAAAAGATAAGAACATTCTTTATATAGACCTGGTGGGAAGTTAACAAAAACTTGTTTTTAAAACCATGTCATTCAATGCTATTCAATTTTTCTTTATGAATATGAAGTTCCCTGCCACATGGCTGTCAAAAAGTAACAGTTCTAAACCCATCATTCAAACGCTCTGCATGGCATACAAGCCAAGTCCAGACATTGTCATGATGATATCTGAATTTTTGTAACATTTCAACACAGATCTTTATATTCTTTATATTCCAGTCAATAAGATCATCTACCATGTTAGTTCTAGAACACGAAGACTTCTCAGGGATGCAAATTATAACATTCTTAATTAAAATGTGAGATAAACTCAAAATAGGCACGGTGAAATCAAAGGTCAAATCATATTAGCAGTATGGAAAAGCAGAATTAATTTAGAGCTTCTGGCTAGCAGGTGATTTAGATTCCTACAAAATGGCTTTGACTCATAGATGTTTTCTCAGAAAGACAGCAGAGGAAAGAATAATACCTCGTAAAGGAAACTAGTAGACCTTCCATTATTATTATTACTACTGTTACTACTATCATCACTATTATTATCATAAGCACTGTCTAATTTATAATCAAATTTTATACATGACTGGTTTCACAAAGGGTAGACAAAATATTCTTTGTTTATTTGAGTAATCCTATGAATTAAAACTGTGTCTCTCTGGTAGCATGACAGTCAGTACAGCATGTCCAAATCCAACATATTTACACTCAAAGATCCCAAAATTTGGAAGAGAGCATTTCTAATAAACTAGGTTGGCTTTGGCTTCTTATTTTTGCTATTGTCACTTTAAAGATTGTAATCTTTTAAAGAAGGTAAGGATTCTGTAGCTAAAGCCAGCATATTACAAGTTATCACTCTTTCTCCTTTTTGTTACTTGGTGTAATAGGCAGATCAGGAGAAAGCAGTAAAGTTCCATTCCCATTTTCACAAAATTTGCATATCCAACTTTAAGAAATTTTTGGAGAAGAATAGCTTTAAAATGTTGTTAGTCATAAATTAGGATGTTAATAATAAATATTTTTAAAATCACTAAAGGAAGTGTACCCTTAAACTTGATATCAGCCCAGGTAACACAGATTGGGAAAGCAGATTTAATAATGCTGCAATGATTCTGTATAGGTGCACATTATACGTGTATGCAAGCTGAAAGGCACTACTCATTTTTCTGAATTGAGCTAAGTGAAGCATGTTCTGGAATGCTGAATAAATAGGATAAACAAAGACCTGAACTTTAAATTAGAGCTGCAGAGCTATTATTAAAAAAATAGATGACATTAACAGATGCCCAGTACATAATCTTCTAATCTTGCATGTACTCTATTACATGCATTGGAGACCCCTGAAATTTCCAGGTTGATTAAACTTTATTAAATACGTTTTTGTTAAGTCATTTCATAATTATACATTTTAAATTAATTTGTTAACCCCTGTTTTCTTTGACTTTTTCTATTCTTAAAGCCTTTAGAGAGTTATAGCTTATACATACTTCAGAAATATTGTATGGGTGAAATTTTCCTTTTTAAGCTCCAGGAAAAATTAACGAAAAAAAAAAATATTTTCATGGTAGATCAAAGAAGAGGTGTCAGACTTAAAAGCCTTCTTTTAACTTGATATCAGGTTAGCGAGTATAAAAAATCTCTAACATAATATAAATGAACTGGCGAAAAGAAAATAGTGAAGTTACACAGGCACAAATTAAATACTATTGCACTACGTATGCAATACATGGGCTCACATGCGAAAAGGAATCTGCAACCCTGGCTACAAAGGTGCTTAGGAATTTGTCCTCAGAGATTCAGTTCAACAGAATTTATGCCTACATCCACCTGTGAATTTAGGCATTTACTCTCACTGATCTCCTACTGCTTTTGTGATTCTTGGTTTCAGAAACACCCCCCCATGCTTTTGTAAAAAAACAGAAGTGTCATAATTGTCCCTAAATAGTGCAATCACTCTGTTAAGGCTGAATTTGTATGTGTTATTGTTGATTTTGTGTATGTTTTTAAGGATTGCAAATAGTCTGAATATTTTGAAAGTTTTTGTTCTGGTTATTTTGCAGGGATTTGTACACATATATAAAATCCACAGAAAAAAATAGAAAATTTAGAAAATAAAACATGGTGCCGAAAATGAACACGTTCAGCAGCCATGGTGCTTTAACTTACCCAGATATGCTTTTCATGAGATGAAGAGAGATGAATGGAAAAAAAAAAGCACACAAATGTTAATGAATATATGTCAGTCCATCAAAAAAAACATGATAGATAAAATTATAGCACTGTTATAAATATGGAAATCTTTTAAATCTTTTTCTGATTTTTTTTTCAAAGAAGTTACAAGATCCTACGAAAAATAAATGAATCTTTCAAAATTGCACTATCATTAGTGTTGGCTGTTTATCAGGCACCACTCAGCACAGCATACAACACATACTTGTGCCAAAGATCTGCAAACATCATGAACACAGAAAATATTTTCAAATCCAAGCATATTGCCCAAATTTTAATAATTTCATAACGATACTTGTGTAACACAAATATCCTGAAAAATCCCCAAACTCCTTTTTTTTTTTTTTTAATTACTATAGAGACACAGTGAAAATGAGAGTGGACTATGAACCAGATTTACTTTCCGACATGCACTTTACCAGTATTTTAGCAGGATATCCTGGAGTAATTGTGTATGACCTAGACTTGTTTTTATGAAATAACCAGATGATGTCATGCACATAGATGGCTAGTTACTGTGACTAGTATTCATGGTATGCTATGCTTGTAGGAGAAACCAGGATGTCGTCACTGACAATAACATTTCTTCAGCATCCTTTAACTGCCATCATAAAAAAAAGAAAAAGAAAATTTTATGTCTCTTTTGTGTGAGCATGTGTTTGTGTGTGTGATGAGTAGAAAAGATGGGAGAAAAGAGAAAAAACACGATACAGAAAAGTAGGTGGAAACAAAATAGAAGGTACAAACAGAAAGTTCAAGAATAAAAAGCAAGGAAGGGTAATGAAGATAAGCAATTATACACAAAGAACAAGCAAACTATTCAAAAAATTACCAAATCTGGTGGAACTACCACTAGAACAGAACGTACATACGTGATTTTGGAGCAAAGTCTCTTGTCGTACTCATACCCTCCTGAGCTACTGCAAAGACTGACTCAAACACCTTGGCTGGAATCTAGCCCTTCGCTTTGGCCGTTCTATCAAGCCAGAGTACTCATTGCTTACATCTGCCTCCCAATCCTCCTTGGGATATGCGGGTGAGGAATAAACAGAGGGATTAACTGAAGATGATTTTGTGGTTGCTTTAATCAGCTGGCAGTTCAATGCTGCCTGGGAATAACCCATGAGACGTGAAGACAGGTCCCCCTTTTTCCCCTTTACAGGAACAGGGGATTTAGGAACATTCATGTGTCTCCTTGTGCTCTTGTCCTCAGAGTAAAAATACCCAGAAGAAAAAAATAGATCTCTAAATTCTAGCTTTTACCTTTTCATAAGACAGCTATTTTATCATGAGTTTTCTGAAGGAAGATAAGCATTTCCCTTAGATTTACATTAAACCGTTAAAGATATTTTTTCCCCTCTGCTGTTTTATCCGTTCTTCCCTTAAACCTTAATTCTACATTTAATCTGATAGGATATTTGTATCCGCAGGAGATCAGAGTTTAGGGAGCAGTTGCATATTTAAGAGTATATGCTTATATCTCAAATTGTGATAGATGGGCCCATATGCATAGACAAGACAGGGATTGAGGCTCTCTTCTGTTCTCATTTGATTAAAAAATTGCAACTAGTTGATCTTAAGGACAAATATATTCTATGCAGTTTGGGAAAAAAAGAACACAAAAAATGGCAAAAGGCAAAATATTGTATTAAAAATACAAACCTCTTAAAATTTTGGGTTAGAAATAGAAAATATTTATCTCCTCAATAAAATATCCCATGTCTAATTTTTAATCACCAGAATAGTCTAATGATAGACTATCATAATGATAAGAAAGGAAGTCTCCAAATATCTGATTTCGTAACAAGGTTTTTTTAACACAAATAAAAGATATCAGCAAAACCTTGCGTTGACTATTTCTAATAGTCTTTAAGTAAGTGGAAAAACATATTCAGTAAAAGGAATGAGATTTGAAATCTCATCTTTATGTATGCCTCAAAGATTAGACGTTAGCCCAACCCAGGGAAAGTGATGGTGGATATCGCATAGTTCTCCTTCCTGAAGTAGGAGGAGAAAATAGCAAATAATAAGTACTGAATACAGTTTTCTTTGCTAGAAAAGGATGAATAATTAAAGAGCAGTCTGAAAGCTACTAACTACAGCAGCTAATTTCTTATAGATGAGGTAGGAAGGGAAGAAATTATATGCACCAAATTAAAATTATTCTTAAAAGCTAGTGTAAGAAAATAAATCATGTACACTTAATGTAGTTTAACACATTAAGTATACAAGAACAATAGATGGAAAGCACAGGAACAAGGACCTTAATTGATCTAATTGGATTCATTTTTTCCAAAACATGTGTAATTAAGATGATCATTAGAAACATTTGTATACTACAGAGGACAGATTATTTGTAGTCACAAATACGCTATGTCAAATTCTAATTACAGTTGAACACATAAAACCTATTCTAATTAAGGGAATGGAAATGAACTAAATGCTGACTACAGTGCTCAAAATCGTGATTCCACAAGAAGGTCTAGAAGGTCTATTTTCACACAGCCTGTTGACTGGGGACCAAAGCTTCAATTTTCTACAAGTAAATCTAAGTAGAGTGTTCTGTTTGATTTAATTCATTTAATTTAAATGCAGATTACTAAAATATGCAGCCTTGTTTTTGTGACATTTTTTCCTCTATCATCCCTTAATATTTGGGAAAAAAATGAATTAAAACATACAAAGGAAAAGGACTTAAGCACTATTATGACTTCACCAAAGGCAGCATTCTTTTTTTTTTTTCTATGAAAAAAGGAAACAAACTGACTTAGTACCACATTCTGTTCTGTTAATACAGAAGTTACTTGTTCTTGATAGGTACATTACTGTAGTCAGCTGAGATTTACTGGTCTGGAAATTTTCTGAGGTTAATTATAAGGTCATAATCTCTCTGAATTTCTTTTCACAAAGGAATTTTGTATAACAGAACAAGTCAGCTCTTGACCTTACCAGGCTATATGTATGTGTGTGTTCTGGTACGATAAAGCTTTTTTGCAACCTGGTTGCAGGGAGGAAATTATAGCTTACAAACAGTCTGTGCCTCTGGAGTAAATCTGCCCCAAACAGGTTCATAGGATAGATTTTTTTTTTTTTAATTTTCCTTGGAAAATGTAAAACCCACATTTTAAGCATGATTTGGGAACATGAAATCAAATGATTGATCTTATTATACAGATCAAGAAAATCAATTGATTTTTATTCAGAGTCAAATCAAATCATAGTAGTAGAAAAGGGGAAGCTGGAAGATCTGCTGTCTACTCAGGCTACCTTGGCCAGATAACTAAGAATGTCATTACAACAAAGTGCAGTGAATTCAGGAGCTATGAGGTAAGTGAAGATTGCCATTCTAACAGTCATATAAATAAACCTTGGAATTTATCAGATTTTTAGTTAGGATCCCACTAATGGGATCTAGTTCAGGGCTAGCTGATTTATATGCAAAATTTTGCACATGCAAATAATTTGTATTGATTTCCTTAGGGAGTTAGAGCATAGACCAAATTGAGAGTGTACTAGCAGAATGCACAAGGTCAGATTCACCTCTATGTGGCAATCAAGTGCTAGTCCTTGAATGTCTCTCAAACCTTGCTTGATGGAGGTGCTTTGCCCACGATGAAAAAAACAGACCTTTCCTTCAGTTGTTGCTAACAAGTAAAAAGAAGTAATAAACAGTCTTATTACTTGTAGTTAAAAAATGAAAGAGAAGGCTAATGTTGTGCAGAACCAGGGCAGCGTACACAGAGCCAGCAAGAAGATACGGCTGGAGCTCTTGATTACAAAATTAGGAATAAGAAACTAGGTCTTCATTTTTAGCATGAATCAAAAAAATGCTAAGAGAACAGCTTCATCCTTCGTTTCAGTGATGGGTGCTTTCTGGAGAGCAAACCCAAAACAAATGAAATTTATGATGTAATCAAGAACAAATGAATTGATTCACCTAGAAACTTGTGTAAATGTAACGACCATATACAGAGCATCACAGTTGCTAATGCTTTTAGCCCTGAATTCTGTTTTCTTTAAAGAAATGCATATGGGGCAAGCTGGTTCTAGGAGTTAGACTAAAGGCAGAAGACACTATGTCCAAATGCTAACAGCTTTTGTATATAACAACTGAGGTGGAATATAAATGTTAGTTTAAATAATAGTGATGCAGTGCATTAATCTACCTCAACATCATTTATTTCCACAACAACGACAAAATATTCTTACTATTTTTAAATGTAGGCTAAATTGGAAGAATATTAT